TGAAGCATGTAGTGATGAATGCTTTAACTGCACACTGGCAGGCTGTAAGTAATCTGGAGGGGTGTCCCTTCTGTTGTATTTTTTTCATGCATTAAAAGCCTTGTACAAAACATAATTCAGTATCAAATCCTGATTGTGCTGTACAAGGGTTCAGAAAAGTGTTGATTTATTTCTAATGACTTTTGTAAAAACAGTTTTGATCCATTGCTGGCTTAAATATATATAATTGTAATTTTCTATTGCTGCCTTTCTGTCTGAGTTTTTCAAACAAGGCCTGACATACTGAGCACACTAGCTATAATTTTGATTGGAATAATTTTGAGGAGGTTTTTTTTCATGCTCACATAATTTGTACTAGGGTCATTGAATTTAACTCCAGGAGACCATTGCAGTCATTTTGACTGAAGTGTGTTTTTGAATGGCACCTAATTTCCAAAGTGCCTTGTTGCATGGCAGTGGTTTTAGCATGTGCACGAATGTGACTCCTGGCAGAGATAGGTTCTGAACAAGTGCAGTGAGCTGCACCTTTGCTTCAAGAGCTATGGGATGATGGTGCTGAATAAGGGAAGTTCTTAGTTCTTGATACGTTTGAGGCTCAGAATCTGTGGGTAAAGTAAGCCAGAGTGAAGAGTTGGAATTAACATTGCATTTTGGGCAAGGCAATATAGACAGCGGAGATGAAAAATACCTCACAGATCATCTGGTATGTCTCTGCCAGTTAGAAATTGTCTTTCATTAATGTTTTTCTAGTCCAGTTAAAATGTACCACTTGGTGAGATTTCAGTCACATCTCTGAGGGAACAGCTTCTCCTCCCACCCCAAATAGCATCATTTTCACCCTATGGATTTGAGATGTGTCACACACTTGGTCCAGACTCTTTCTTCTGGTAGTCTGTCATTGCTTACTCTAACCATGAGTTTCCCTGTATCTTGAGTTCTACTTTGCTCATGTCTTGCACCTCAGAATGTTTTCTGGCTTCTCGTGGTGTCCTCAGGAAAAGCCTGGCCTTTCTCAGCAGATAGCCCTTGCTTCTGGAATCCTTCTCACTTCCACACAGCCATGTGCTGACAAAGCCAGTCTTTGTGTCTGCCTGGGGAATGATGCAAGGCCCATCTGTTAGCCCATGCTGGTAGGAAAAAAATCTGCCTTTAAGGATGGCTTGAGGGTTGCTTGTTTCTTTCCAGGGGTTTCAATGCCCATGTCTGACCACTGAATCTCCAGAAGCAGTCTGAGCAGTCCTTTCCTCCTGGCAGCAGCTCTCTGCAGTGCTTTTAAGATTATTCTCACCTTGGATCCAGGATTTCAGTAGCAGGTTCTCACACAAATATATTTCAAAGCAAGCTCCATCATGACTTATTTTTAAGCATACCAGTGAAACCTGTTCCTTCACATCTTTCAGATCAGTAAATTCTTTTCAGACTTTCTTGTTATTCCCATGGAAAATTCCATGTACTTGTTAGCTTTTGCTAGTATTAAATCATTACCAATTTATGTAATTTTACAAATCACTCTAGGATATTTCTTCCAACTGTAATTTCTTTTGTTCAAAAGATTCTCAATAAATATTCTTTCTTATGTCACCCACACAGTTTTTCTGGCTTGTTCCTAGTCTGTTCTTGCCAGATGTTTTTTCCCAAGCTTTTGTGATAATGAAATGGAGCCACTGTACCCATGGTATTAAAAAAAAAGAAGAAGAAGAAAAGGGATAAAAAAAGCTTTGAAAAGTGGTGGGGTTTTTTGGCTACGAAGTGCAATTAGTTTGACATTGCATTCATATTTTTTGCATCTGTGTTTGAAACTTCTGATGTGTCTTAATTTAAGAACACTCTGCCTCTGAAGTTTTGCAGCAGTAGCCATGTTTTTTCAGTGCTTAAGTCATAGGTGGCACTTGGAACTTAAGAGTTAACAGGACATGAGCATTGGTGAGTTTTAAAATTTTGCTACAAGTACACTGTCCTAAACCCAGTTCATTCCACTGTATCCTGCTTTACTGGGTGAATGCCCCAAGTAGGCACAGAGAGGGAGACATTGCAATTTTAGGCAAAACAGCTCAGCTCCAGAAGCAGCTAGAATGGAAGTTAGATCTGGTGATGATTTAATACCATACACAGCTTTTTCTTCCTTCCTCCTCTGCCCCCACCCCAGTTAGCTGTCAGATGTTCAGCGAAGAGGCACTCAAACCCCTTCTGTCAGGAAGGATTTGAACCTTCTGTGTCCTGAAAGACTTCTTAACTAACCATTTGGTGAAGACAGTGATCTTAATTTGGATCATTGGGTATAGACAGACAGGTTCAACATAAAATATTTGAGGAACTTAATAATTCTGCATCTACCACAATTGAATCTTTTCTTCTAGCAAAACAATTTATGGCACAAAATAGGTGTCTCACCCATTTCTATGAGTGACTGAGCAGCAGAAGAATCCTGTTATATTGTATAAAGCAGGACAAAATGAAGAATTCCTTGCTTTGGGGTGACAGAACTCCCTTGCTGATTTTTTTCTCCCTGAACCCACTGCAAAAGCTGTGCAAAGCTCCAGGCTGCTGTCCCCTCAGCAGGCAGGCTTTTAGATTTGTCCTTTGGAGGTCCCTGCCTTTCTCCATGGCCAGGCCAGGCAGCTGGAACTACATTTTGAATTCTACTCCAAAGGGTAACGAGTATTTCAACTTCTAACATTTGTGGGGAAGCTGGTCTCTGCTAACTCCCCTTAGGTCTTTGTTCCTACTGAGGCTCCTTCTTGGAGATAAAACTGTTTGTCACCTACATGAACTGAAAATGGCAGTTCTGTCTCCTGCTGTCTTTTTAAGAGGTCTCAGGATCAGGACTCACTGTTTCAGCACTTGCTTCCTTGTGAGGGCATTTTATGAAGCTAAGTATTGGCAAAGAAATTAGTAAAAGGTTGCAGTTTGGTAAATAAGTTTGTGTTACTGTGATGATCAATAGCTTCATTTGTCTTGTGATATGGTATATTGAGTCTTCAGAGTTAATGTCTTGAGTCAAGAATATTAATGAAACTCAGTGTCTAGTCTGATGCTATTTCTGATTTATTGAGTCAGTCTTTAGTAAGGAATTTTACATTGCTGACATTATTACACACAGAGCATTTGGTGCTAGTTGGAAAAGAATATGTACAATTTGTTGAAGTATTGCTGGAGCATTTGTAATGCTGCAGCAAAGGTCACTTTTACCTCCCACATAAAACTGAGATGGGTCTGACTCCAAACTGTCCAGGCTTTTGCTGTGATCATTGGGAGCTTTTAGGAGCCTCCTGCCATTCCTTCAGTGGTGATTTCTGAACATGAGGCCAGCTGCAAGTGTTCACTGCACAAGGATTTGCCAGTAGTGGTGCACTGGGGTGTAAACCAGCAGTTGTTACAGCAGATCACTCCATAATGCTTCTGCACTCAGGACTCTGAGTGAAGAACAGAGAAGAATGTGCTCTCTAACTCATGAGTATTTTAAGAAGATAAACACCTAACAAGTATGAGGTTTATCCCAATTCAGTGATACGTTCTGAGTGATTCATGAACTGGATTTTGAGCCATTTACCATGGACTGAGTTCAGTTTCCTTAGATGCTGTCAATGCTAAAATTTTGTCAATCATGTAACTTACAGATCTAAATTAATTAAATGGAATTTGTGGCTATGTGTAGGTCAGCATCCCTTAACCAAACTCCAGAGGCTTTGCAGAATGATGGTATCCAAACTATTGCTGTCTCATGCCATATAAAAGAAAGTTAAGTACAGGCAGTTATGATTACATGAGGCAATTTTTATATCTTTTTCTGTTCTCCACAGGTAGGTGTCATTTTTTTTACATTAAGTCCACTTAAGGGAAAACTTTAATAATTATTCCTACCTCCTGCAAGCACTGTCACAAATTTCATTGAAGACCAAGTGTACTTTCAACAAAGAGTGAGGTTATTACTGAGTTAGGACTTTTCTTTTTTATTGTTATTATTGATACTGGTAAGAACTTGCTGCTGCTTTTTATAGCAATGTGCTTCCTTGGAGGGTTGAACTGACACTTTCTTTCCTGATATATTTATTCTTGAGAAATTCCTTACTGTGCTGTTATCATTACACAGAGGTAGGTCGTGGTTGGCTGGTTTTTTTAAAACAAGACCTGTGGTCAGATAATCAGGTCGGCACAGAATGTAACCCTGTTGCCCTGAATTGTCAGTGGCATCTATAGCACAGGCCAGAGAAGAAGAGTCTTTTCTGCTTTTACCTTTCTGTCCCCTGAGAGCTGGAAAGAGGTAGGAAGACAAGGAAATCGCCATAGCATTTCTTCCTGAGTTAGAAGTGGCTAGAAGTGCTCAGTGGTGAGACATCCCACAACTGCATTTCAGTGGTACCACAGTCATCATTTGGAGGAACAAAGAAAGGGAAAAATTATCCTGGTACATTGCTATTTTGGTAAAATAATGGCTCTGTGAAGACACACTGTGTGTTTGTAGGCAAATTTCTCCCAAATCAGTCCCTGCTCTTTTTAAGCACACAATCTTCCAGCCTTTCCTTTCCAACCTTCAAATTCATTTTTATCTGAAGTAGTGATAGATCCATCTGTTCAAAATGTGGTATGAGCTGGCACAGGAATATCCAACTTTGAGTGTGAAAGTTCAAGAGGGTCTTTGGGTATAAAGGAAAGAAAATCAAAGTCTCTCGTGGTTGTTAGGCAGAGATTTGGAAAATGTTCAACTCATGACTGTTCTTCCTGTTCCTCAGAACTCCAGGATAACTCTTGATATGAAGGAGGAAGGGTTTAGCCTGTGTCTCTCACTGCTTGTGCTGTAAATGTAATGGCAAAGTGTGTATATGTTCCTGGGTGTGCTAGCTGCAGAAATATGTGAAAATCAGGGAGCAACTAGAAGTGACTTTCCAGAGAAATACAGGAATGATGCCAAGCATTTAAAAAAGCCTAAAAATAAATAAAATTGGCTAGTGCTATTCATGTTAGCAGAAATGACTAACTTTACTGGGGTCTTTTCTTTGTAGATCACCTCTCTTGTGACACTACAGCTGTTATCTGTGGTTGGCCAGAACGACCAGCTTGATGGACCACGATACAAATGTACTGTATCTCTGGACTTCATCAGAGCTGTTGCCCGGTGAGCATATTAGAATTCATTTACTGCTGTGTGTGCTGACTTGAAAGAGACTTCAATCCAAGTGTTTGCTCAGTCTATAGCTCTTTGCAGGGCATGGATATGGATATTTTCTAAGCTTGAGCGAATGAGTTGTCTTATTTAGGTCTAGAACATGTTGTATGAGGAAGGGCTGAGGGAGTTGGGTTTGTTTAGCCCTGAGAAAAGGCTCAGGGATGACTTCATGGCTCTCTCCAACTACCTGACAGGGGTTGGAGAGAGGTGGGGGATGTCTCTCCTGCCATGGCTGCAGGGAGAGGACTAGAGGGAATGGCCTTGAGCTGAAACAGGGCAGAGTCAGGTTAGATGTTGGAAAAAATGTTTTCCCTGTCAGGGTGTTCAGGCACTGGAATAGATTGCCCAGGGAGGTGGTGGAGTCACCATCCCTGGAAGTGACATCTGGATCTGGCACTGGAGGGTATGATTTAGGGTTTAGGGGTTCCAGCAGTGACAGGTTAATGGTTGGACTGGATGGTCTTAGAGGTCTCCTCCAACCTTGATGATTCTGTGGTTTATGAGAAGTGTTGTATTTGAGGTAAGTATAGTCCGATCTTGTTTTGAAAAAGATTTATGTTACAGTGGCAGGATGTGTTACAGTAACGTACTGTCTTTGTGCTTAGTAAAGGTCAGGGACTTCATGTGAAAATACTGCCCTGAAATGTCAGTCCATTTCATTACCAAAAAGCACATTATGGTATTTGAATCTGAAATTACGTTTAGTTCTTAACAGCCAGTTTGTTGTGCATATGATAATAAAAACTACATAGGTTGTAAGAATCCTTCCACATAGTCTATCTTGTGTGATCTGTAATCCATACAAGCTAATTCAGTAAATGAATGTAGAGGACCTCAATGGCTTTGTTCATTCAGAGCCTTCAGTCTTAAGAGTCTGAGAAAGTTCCAGTTCCATCAGGAGAGATGATATATTGCAGACAAATACATACAATACAAAGGCAGCAATCAGGCCTATGTCTCACATTTATCAAATGGCACCAGCATTACCTCGCACCTGTTGCTGCAGCCAGCTTATTAGCAAGCCTTGGATAAACAGTCTGTGGCACAGAGCAGAGCCCAGAAATTACATGTGTCAAACAAGGAGAAACATTCTCAAGGACAGTTCTTCTCTGTAATGTGGGACTTCAGAGGAACCTGTACTGTAGACTGTATCCATAACCTCAGTGCACACATTGCTCTCCTGAGCTATTACATGTCCAGTAGCCTTGTCAATAAACATAACAGGTACACTATTTCAATTTCAGTTGAACAGCCATGGAATGAAACTTTGTCTGGCTCAGGCCTGGCTGGACCACACTGCCAGGACCTCCACTGTTTCTCTGGGTCAGTTTGCTATTCCCAGCAATAAAGTCACTTGTGAATGATGCCCTGAAAAAGCTCCCCCTGGTACCAAGTACAGCAGACCATCTGCTCAGCAACACAGGTCCTTGTGTACACAGTTAGGCATTGTGTGTATCCTTGAATTAAGATACTTGAAGTGACAGTCCTTTCCTTGCGGCTTCAACATCCTTAGAAAGTTTCACTGACTCCTTTAGGGTTGCTGGAAGGTAGAGGTGGCAAGAAAACAGTGCCAAAACCTGTGCTATGCAGCTCATGCTTAACCAGAGAAGGTAGTTGTTAGAGATGCTATGGCTTCAAACCTCAGTGCATGGTATAGTGCTTTGGGTTGCTTTCCTTTAGGTCAGATGTGTGTGTGTGTATAAACACATATATATGAACTGACTTTTCCAACATGTTGTGAGGAAGAAAGCAGTTCTCTTTTTTTTTTTCCCTCCTCCAAGTAGTTTGCAGGTCTTTATAGGCTTCTTAGATGGGGCCATTTAAATGACCTGATGGATTTTAAAGTTGGCCTGTTCTACTTTTTTCCTCTTTCCCCCTTTTCTTTATTTTGCTGTGTTCTTTGTTACACTTTTTATTAATATACATTTTCCAGCCCACAATATTCATTAAGTCTTTCAGGAGGATGATCCATAAAAAGACAAGGTTTTAGGAACTCATGATAAATGGGTTTCCTTCTTCATAGAGTCATAGGATCATCAAGGTTGGAGGAGACCTCTAAGATCATCAAGTTCAATTACTAACGTGCCACTGCTAGAACCCCTAAACCCTAAACCAGATCCTCCAGTGTCAGATCCAGACACCTCTTAAACACTTCCAGGGATGGTGACTCCACCACCTCCTTGGACAAGCTATTCCAGTGCCTGACCAACAATCTTCTCTCAATGGGGCTAGCCACAGGGTGAAGGCATGATCTTCTATGCTAGAAAATTTCATTTTCTGTCTGTGCTGTAGTCTGGCAGCTGCCCTGTACATTTTTAACTGCTCACATGAGAGGTTCTGTTTGTTGCAGAGAAGAAACTAATTTGCAATTTCAACCAAAATACACATCAAGTGAGAAGCACATCATCTGATTCTTTTTGCTTTGTTACTATAATAGTGCTAAAATAAGTTTGTTAGTCAATAAAATCTTCAGATACCTCAGCCTTGTTCCCATCTCAGCCTTGCTACTCTAGCATATTTCCTAACGGAAGGCTGAAGAGTGCAGAGTGGGACAGAAAAAGATGCTCTTTCC